TATATATATACATATATGACAAGTTTATTATGTTTGGATAAGTGTGCAATGCTATGTGGTCTTCTTTAAATGTCAACTAAATGACTAAATGAACAAGTAAAAGGTCAAAATGTTTAATACAGTAGCATACAGTAAGTGCTGTGCTAATGGATGTCCATTATGCACCACTATGCACCACATTGCTTTCCACCATTGTGGAATGTGGTAATTACTGCATTAATATACCTTTAATATAGGATGATGGTGTTCTTTTGTGGCTCCCAAGGGTGTGACATAAAGTAATCTCCTATTTATTGAGGAAAAAAATAGATACCTTTGCAGTCATAGGCCCACTAAATTTGAAGTGTTGCCAATCAAGAGACCAGTGAGTCATGCAGACGCATTCTGTGTCACCAGTTTTCCTAAATAACAGTGCTAGAGGATGAACGTGTTTTTGAGAGAGATGGAGAATAGCAAGAGATGTGGGAGATCTCAGCTTCAGTTTGAAGTAAGACAAGGTTCAGAACAGTCAACAACAAAAAGCAAATAACAATAACAAAAAGAGCAGAAACTTAAATTATACACCTTTGGGAGTCACAGACAATGATAAGCTGTTTTTTTTTCTTTCTTTTTTAAAGGAACTAGCACTTGGAATGAATATTGTAGATTTTGAGAACATATATATTAATAGTACTATAAATAAGAAAAACTCTTGTAGGAATTGTGGAATTATTAATTCCGAGGTACCACAAAAATTTTTCATATTTTAACGAAACCATCCTCTTTATAATGCAGCCAACATGTCAAATAATTAGGAGAGAATTAGATGAGTATAACCTTTTGCCATTGTGCCTTAGAATCTTCAATTATCCAGTTCAGAAAGAGACATTTTCAAGCACAGAAAGAGAGTATTCTGTAGAGCTTTCTATTATATTTATCACTGGTTATTGGACCAGTTAGTCCAACAAATATAAGGGATCATGATTTAACTTAACTTCCACCAATGATCTGCCAGAATCAGAAAGGGGAACTTTGAAGAAAAATAGGTTGGGAACCAGTGTTTTAGTCCACACACACTATTCTGTTGCCCTCCTGTGTCATTCATACCATGCCATAAACTTTTCAAGACATTTTCACATTTTTTCAAGACTCCCTTTCAAATGCCATTTACCAACTCATTGCCAGCAGTGGCAGCACAGATGCTACTTTCAGAAGTGGCAAGAACCTGCAGTTTTTCTCCTTCTCTGGGTGGAACAGCTACACAGCTTGTAAATAGTGTGGCTCATGTAAACAGCATTTTTTTCCCTTTAACTTGATAAAAGCTGAAGCACTTCCAAACCTTGGCTTTCGATGGAGAAGGAGCCACTTGCTGCACTTGAAAATTCAGATGTTTGTATTTCTCAATAAGACATTATTAGCCCACTATAAATAATAACCAATTTTTTTGTCATTTAAGAAAGAAATGATTTAAAACTGTTCATTTCTGCACCACAATGCAAAAACAAGAGAGTATAACTCCCACCCCTAAAACAAAACCCAGTTACAAGTTAGTTATTAGTGCTAAACCAGAAAAAAAACTTGGCTTTCTTAATAACAAAAGCTACCAAAGATAAGAATAATACCTCTTATCCAAACACTGTCAGGATCATGTTTGTTTATCTGTTCTGGCTGCACAAGCAGAGTTATTATCTGTGTCTTGGTGTTTAGGAATGAAGAGACTCTTCTCCTTTTTTATTAAAGTTTAATTAGTCTATTAATACTTTATCAAGCAACCAGGTGGGAGGGAATTCTGCACGGAGGAACTCACAGAGGCTGAATTACTAAGATGTTAATAAGTCTTTGAGCCTGCACAAGACCGCAGCTCTTAAGTGGTCATATTAGAGCCATCCACAGTAACTAAGTTACTGTGATTATCCTATTTCTCATGCTGATAACACAATTTAATGAAAACGTGGTTAGTAAGTCAGAGTGAATGTTGGGAGAACAAATGATTGGTAGCAGTATACATCTGAAGCCAAAAAAGCATTTCAGTTTAGTGTACTGTATTTGTGTAAAATAAGGGTTAGGCTTGTTTATTGTAGCACCTGACTGAGTCCTATTTATGTAAGTGCATCTCATGTCCAGTACTGACAGGCACAGTTTCAGTTAGTTTTATAATTTTGGTTTTAATTGTGCACTGCAATGCCTGTAGAAAAGTGACAAAAACCTCCCTCCATATTATTAAATTATAATTAAATGACTATAAATCTGCTGAATGAACAAAATGAGCTTTTTATGTTTAATTTTTTTTTCTGTGATTAGCTTCAGTGCTAAGACTTTGTTCTGTTTGTAAAAAGATTTGGTCTGCACTTTGAGATTATCAGACATGTATGTTGAAGTAACGTTTTTCGCCTCAAAGTGCAGCTTTGGGTCTGGTGTGAAGATGAGAGAAGCTAATCAAGCTAATGTGGCAGCAGAGAGAGAAAATAGTCTGCAGTGTTTGCAAAGGAAAATAAGAAACCTTATGTCAAATACATTTACTTTAATAATAAAACACATAAAAAAGTAATTAAGCTTTACAGTTTAAAAAAATCAGTTCACATATTTTCATTCAGTTTTTAAATGTGGCTCAAATCTTAATACCTGTAAGATATCTAAATGTGGAGATATTTTTGTGTGTATTCAGCATTTTTACTGCACAAGAGTTGTGTTTTTATTAGTTATATTGCTCAGAGCATACAGAAAAAAATGTATATAATTTTAATCTGAGTTTATCATATATGGTTCTGCACAAATATCTACAATATCAAACGTAAAACCTAAAACATCTTGACTAAATGGTTGTACAGTGTATAACCTTTTATTTATCATATGAGAAAAATAAATATTTCATAGTCTATTAAATTATGGGAGTGTTTTTATTATTATTATTGTCATCTACTGTAGATTAATAAAATCAATTTTATTGACGGAAAGAGAAAATTCAAATTTTTAGACCAACCACCAGTGTCATATATTCATATACAGGTACAGTATATCTTTTAGTAAAAACAAAAAACAAAACAGCATTACACTGGTTTGATAACAGGAAAGGACAAGAAGTTAAATTTAYGGAATTGTACTGCATTTGTTTGCACACACGTGAAGCAGAAAGGGAAAATTTCATTATTTTTCACTGTGTAGGGTGAGTCTCTAAAAGCTTTGATCTGTGAAAATTCTGAAAATTCATGCTGTTAGTAAGACTTTTCGTGTGACCTGCCTGGAATCTGGCTTGAAGGTTGAAGTGACACAAATGCTTTGCTTGACACCAGTACAGGAACAGTTTGGTGTCCGAGGCACCTTTGTTGCAACACACAGGAGGAGACACTTACCGGTGATATTGTTCAAGTGTATAAAAGAAGAAAATGTGAAATATCTCAGTGAACAGGAAGAAAAGCTTCACATCCTGTATAACTGCTTACCAATTACTTCAGCATAATGCTAAGCACACTATGCCAGTCCTCTTATAAATGTAGTTACAATACGTCCTGATTTTGTCCACTGTCGCTGAGGCAGGAGACATAGAAAATGCTCTCCATCCATTACAATTACAGAAAGCTGTAGCTTTCACATAGAAAGTAAGTAAAATACACCAAACTTGGGATGATTCATCCATGTTTCATGACGGACCATACAATGTGGTCATATGACATCATCAAAGCCCCGCCCCCTGACAACAGGGGCTGACCTTTTTGGCTTGGAAAGCTCCATCTCTGACCCTCTTGATCTYATCAGCAACAAATTGAGTCAGAACACGGATAAGAAGTTGATCTCACTTGCTTTCAAGCACAAAGACTTTTTAGTGAAAGGCGTGGTCATGGTGGAGCGGTGAAACTAGACATCACTCCGTTGACATATGTTTGACTCTAAATTCCACATGCTTCAGCCAATCTGCACCAAATTCACTATGGTTGATCCTAATAATCCATCCCACTAAAGAAAGGCAGTCCAATTATTATTATTATTATTGGGGTGGGGGGGTAATTAGACATCATGTCGGTGACATACGTTTGACTATAAATTCCACATATATGATTCATTCTGAACCAAATTTTGCGTGCACCATCAGGGAGACC